AGCTCCACTGCCAAGCCCCATGAGGGGCCCGGCGGTGGACCTGCAAGGCCGGCGGGAGTGCAAGGGAGCCCCGCCAAGGCCCTCCCTGGCCCCAGGCAGGCAGGGGTGGAGAGAGGCAGGGAGGAAGCAACTTACCCTCCCTCTTCTCCTGCCTCCTCCTGGCTGAATGAGGGCCGGAAGCGGGGCGGCCGGAAGCAGGGGGCGGGGCTTCATCATGTGCCCCGCCCCCCCGTACCTCACCCGGGGGGACTGCGATCCCCCGCGATCCCCCCCAAAATGACCTCTGCATTTACCTCCATTTTAGAGGCTCTCTTCCGTTCTGAACCAGACTAATCTTGCTACACTGAGCCATGTTTCACTAGCTTGGCTACTGTAACACACTTTACATTCTGCTGCCCTTGAAGACAGTACTGCTACAACCTTCACTGAGTGGTGTGACCATGTGCTTACCTCAGATCTGCATATTAAGTTTGCTTTCAAGCTCTGTTCAAAGTGCTGGTGTTAACCTGTAAAAATCTTCATGGCCTGGGACCCTCATACCTGAAGGACTACCTCTCTCCATATGAACTCATGCACCAATTAGGATCTAGCCAACAGATTCAACTGGTGGTGCTTTCTGATAGTCATATTGACACACAAGCGGCCAGGAACCAGAACTTTTTCTGTTGTGGCCATCTTTGGTGTTCCAAGATGTCTCTCTTTTATGGTCCCAACCTTTTAAAAATCCTTCATTCTAGTTCCAACTACGAAACCCTGGCTCAATAAGACATCATCATCATCAACATCTCCATCAATTCTAGGTCTACCACAGTCAAGGAAAACCCAATTCCTCCAGCATGACCCAGTGGTAATCGCCCCTCTCACTGCTGAGTACAAAAAGCCAGAGTTTTTAGCTCACAAGTGCAATTCTAGTTCAATGTTCCCTTTATTTCACAAATACCTCCCTTCTCTAGGGAGAGAGCAGGGACCTGACAATAAAGCCCTTAAATGCAGCAATAAAGCCCTTTGCTCCTGAACTCCTCCACTCTCAGTTCAGAAAATGCACATCTGGAGGCCCTACAATGAGGTTGTCCTGCCCCTAGCAGAAGAGAGCACAGTAAAGTTAAGTTCCAGGGAACGAAAGTGCTATAATGACATGAAATGCTATGAACAACTCGTAGTACCTCTTCTCTGAAAGATCCAGACCAGCCCAAAAGCAAAGGTGTGGCCCATAACCCCCAACCCCAGCCTCTCCTTACTCCCAAGTGCAGTGGTCTCACCTTGCAGGAAAGGCCTTTGGGCAAGCTGTGTGCGGTTTGGGTCACGGATGCCTCCAGCCTCTGGCTCAGCCCCGACACAGTTGAGTTGCTGCTCTCGCTCAGCTGATCCCAGGACATCTTTAAAGAGCTGCTGAACATCCTTGCTCTCCATTTTGGGTAGCTCTGTTGGCAAGGAGGAACGCTCCAATGGAATCACAAGCAGTAAGATCATCAAGAGACAACCTGAGCCACATACGGAACCTGGTGGTCTCCAAAAAGGACAGGTTGACCTTCTGAGGTGAGTGTTAATTTGACCAGCGTAGGATGGATACAACAGCAGCTGGTCTTAGTTTAAGCCACTAGGATCTACCCCTATTCCAGAGCTTGGGAGAAAAGCCAGGAGGCCTGGCTCCCAGTCTCCCCTGCTCTCCATGGGGTAGATCCTTAGCAGAAGGATGGGGGCAGTAGGGTCTATTCAAAGGGCCCGCCTGACCTTCAGTGGGGATTTTGTCAAGGTCGGAGCTGAGCACCCCCTCCCCCGGGGGTGTGGCTGGGTTCTCGGCACCTGTAGGATCTGGAGTGTTCTTGGGCACCATCTGTTCTTCTGTGCCTGTAAGGAGCAAACACCAGACCTGTCAGTACAGGGAATGTCCAGTTAACATCCATGGCACAAGTGGACAGGGCAGAGGGACAAACAGTATTGACCCCTGACTTCCAGTAGGCCAAGCAAGCATCAGGAAGGATCTCCTAACCTCTTGGAAGGGATACTCCCCTCTAAGTAGAGCAATTGTGGGACAATTTAATGTGGTCAGGTGACACCACTTTGGTTTGCAGCTCAAAACTCAGGAAGCAAGGGTGGGAGGGGTGAGGCTAGTTGCCTTTTTGGCTACTTGCCCTGCTCTTAAAGGGTGGGAGGGGTGAGGCAAGTAGCCTTTTGGGCTACTTACCCTGCTCTTAAAAAGATCTCTGGATTTCTCCAGCAGTGCAAAACATTACAGCCTGCCTTCCAACAGGGGTGGGCTGTTAAGGACCAAGTCACAGAGCTCCCACTGTTCCCCTGTCTTGACTTTCCGACACAATTTGGTCATTTGGAAGGACAGGGAGGGTGAAGTGGCATACAGAGCCCCCCCTCCCCCATTTTATTCTCACAACCACCCTGTGAGGTTGCTTAGGCTGAGATGAGAGACTGGCCTAGTGTCACACTGTGAGTCTCATAGCAGGACTAGAATCCGAACGTAGATCTCCCCCGTCATAGTCCACCAAACCAGACTAGCTGTCACTTTTAACTTGGTCGTTATTTGTCCTTTTTCAAACTATGTTGTTTGCTGTGCTGAGAACCTGAGGTTTGAGCTATAGCACCTACATTTTGAAAGTAAATAAAATACTCAGAAACAGAGAAGTGCTTTCTCGCCCACTTCCGGAAGTGACAGCTTTAAAGCACACACTCACACAAACAGTAAGATCTTGAGTAGAGATGCGAAGCCCCCCACCCCAGGTTGTTTTACCCAAAAGCTTTTTTTAAAAAAACCCAAAGGAAAAATAGGGAAATTTGGGGGAGTACTGAAAAATATTCTTATGAATTTTTTTTTCTTTTTAGAATAAGTGAAATGGATCTTTAAGTCAATGCTTCACTCACTCAAAACATACAGCATGCAAAATTTTATGTAAGACAATGCAAAAAATAATGCTAATTCCCATGTCTACAATGTACTTATTTTCAAGGTCTGAACTCCTTTTTTCTCTTGACTAAAAGGAGTCATTGTGACCAGATCTGAGCGTTTCTCTACAGCTCCCATTGGGTTAAGTGGGAGCCTCTCAGTCACCACCACAGCAAGCCCTAAGGTTAAACAACAAGCTGCCCTTCCATTTTGGTATAGTGGTTAAGTGTGTGGACACTAATTTGGGAGAACCGAGTTTGATTCCTCACTCCTCCACTTGCAGCTGCTGGATGACCTTGGGCAAGCCATAGTTCTGTCAGATCTGTTCTTGAAAGAGCAGTTCTTACAGAACTCTCTTAGCCCCACATACCTCACAGGGTGCCTGTTGTGGGGAGGGGAAGGGAAAGGAGTTTGTAAGCCGCTCTGAGACTCCAAGTGAAGGGTGGAGTATAAATCCAATCTCTTCTTCTTCTTCTTCATTTTGTATTTTTTTGGTGAGCATTTGTGTGTGTGTGTGTGTGCCTAGAAGTCATGGTTGACTTCTGTTGACCCCTAGTGAGGCTTGGAAGTTTCAGAGGGGTAGTTTGCTATTGCTTGCTTCGGCATCCCAGCCCTGGTATTCCTTGGAGGTCTCTCATCCAAGTACCTGTCAGGGTCAGCCTTCCTTAGCTTCTGAGATTTGCTGAGATTGGGCTTGCCTGGGCTATCCAGGTCAGGGCCATTTTGTATTTTTGAGTGGCATCTTCAGCCTCATGTCACCTTCCCACCAATAACAGCCCAACATTAAAAGCACTGGGGGCCTGCTAGGAAATATTTGTATGAGAGCACTGTGGCCGACAGTTAGGTCCGTAGTGGCACAAGATTTGACATGGATGAGAGCAAAACAACTGAAGAACATGAGAAATGTTTCCTCTGTTGGAACGACAAAGTACATACATCAGAAACAAAAGGAGTTGGAATGGTGTGGTAAGAACAAAATGGCTGGAGATTAATGCAAGGCTTGAGAGCTGTGGTTGGAGGGAAGTGAACCTCCCATAACATAAGAGATAATATGTAAAATATATAAGATTGGATTGTAAGCAGTAATGAACTTTGGAAATCATTTTGATGAAGATGTGGTAAAAATATTACAAAATGGTGTTAGTATGTTTTATATTTGAAGAATGTTAATATTTGTTAAAAACATAAATATATTGTGAGGTTGTGTGTGTATTTTGGTGGTTTTTTTAAAAAAATTATGTTTTTGTAGTATGGTTTGTAATTTAATTTAAAAAATTCTACACCCCCCCCAAGAAATTATTATCCCAACATTAAAGATCAGCAAGCACCAACCAGAGAACTCCAGAACAGACCACCACAAGATTTGAATGCCACAGAGATACATAAATGAACAGCCCCACTCCTCTGCAGGAACTAGTGAGCATTTTTTTCTGTTCTAAAAGCGGATGGTCTAGATTTATACAAGCCAACTATAGGTAAGTGTTGTATAACACAATCTCAGGGCTTTTCTGCATTCTCATGTTCTTCACTTGTAAGTTCCTGTTCCTTGGGGGGCAGAAGGGCTCCTGTTCTGCATGTACTTTGCTCCTCCTAGTGGTGGATTAGATATTACACCAGTTCATGTCTGGCAAAAAAAACCCTGCAGTTGCCAGACAGAAACTGATGTAATACCAAATCAACCACTAGAGGGAACGAAACATGAGCAGAACAGGAGAAAAACTCTGAAGGAATTGGAATTTACAAGCGAGGAAAATGAGGATGCAGAAAAGCCCTCAGACAGCAGCCATAGATACCAGGGCTCAAATCCTTGCTCAGTCATGAATTTCATCGGGTGATCCGAGCCCAGTCACACACTCTCAACCTAACGTGTCCCACAAGGATAAAATAGTAAAGGGAAGAACCACGTATACTGAACCAAGCTCCTTGTAGGAAGAGTGGGATTAAAATGTGGAGTGGTTTGAGTGTCAGACTAGCAAATTAAGCACAAAGGTATAGCAGACAGGAAAGAGTTTTCTATAGCTGCGTCTGACTCTTTAAACTGATGTGGCACATATACCCTCACGGAGGCAGATGTCACACCAAGCCCTCCATGCTCCATTAAAAACCTTGTACTCACCGGTGTTTTCAGGCTTGGCCTCAGCAGCTTTCAAGCTGTTTTCCGGGGCAGCTGTCTCCCTGCCATCAACACATTCATTCCCTAGAGGGTGACAGAGAAAAGCCAATACAGTAGAATAGGGATGGTCATCTGACTGCCTGGATATGCCCCCTCATCCCCGCAGAGGCAACTAATCTGGCCCCAGTGGCCATACCAAATCATCGTCATGGAAAGACAAGTGAAGCTGAATAAATGAGAGAGATTCCACACTGTGACGTCAAATCTCCCTTTCAAATATGACTCATATGTAACTACCGTAGTTGGCTATAAGTTAAAATACCCATTTGTAACACTGTGCCTGAGTGCTGGCACAATAAAGCACTTGCTACTGGAGAGTGGTATGTTTTCAGCCCCCAGACTGCTGGAGAACCCACAGGAGGGGCATGTGAGTGGGCCACCCTTGCACAGCACCGCCTTCCTTTATGTCAGCTCTCCCTGGACAATACCTTTTTCTTCTATGCGAACTACCTGTGCCCAAACCCAAAGTCCCATCCACATCTGCCCACACTCACCTTTTTGCTGAACCGAGGCCTCCTTTCCATCCATTGGCCCTTTCTGGAGCATGCCACAGTCCACCTTGGCCCTGGGAGCTCCCTGGCCGACAGGAGGGTGAGCCGTTCCTTCTCCACCCACACCACCGGCTGCCAACACGGCCTTTCTGCTCAGGTCCAGAAGTGCTTTTCCAAAGAAGGCTTCCTGTCAAAGAGGTGGGAGAAGGAACAAAGGGGTAGGAGGAGAGGGACGTCCCCAGAAGTTTACTCGGATGAACCTCCAGAAAGTCAACTTTTATCAACTGCTTTAGTGCAACTATTTCCTCTGGTAAATGTATTTATTTACCTCATTCATACCTTGCTTTTCTCTCCAATGGACATTCAAAGTGCTTATATCATTATCTCCTCCTCCATTTTCTCCTTACAACAACCCTGTGAGGTAGGTTAGGCTGAGAGGGTGTGAATGGCCGAAGGTCATCTAGCAAGTTTCCATGGCAGCGGGGGGATTCAGAGATGGGACTCCCAGGTCCTAGTCTAACACTGTAGCAGCTACACCATGTTGGCTGTCTTCTATCCCTATCAAGCCTCCAAGGCCATCCCTATCAAGCCTCCAAGGCCATTTGCAAGAAAATTTAAAGCCAAATGGTGTAAAATTAGAAGGGATTAAAAGGTTAAATAAGAGAAGCCTATTCCCGTCTAAATACAATAATAAATAATTACATTCACCCTGATCAAACAGGGTTTATACCAAATAGATCTTTAAATGATAATATTAGGAAAACTTTAAATCTTATTAACCATGGGAAAGTAAATATTTATTTATTTATTAAATTTATATCCCGCCCTTCCCAGATGGGCTCAGGGCGGCTTCCAACAGCGGCAAATGCCATAATAAACAGTTAAAACAGTATAAAACAATCCATAAATAAAATGCGGTGCTCTAGATATTAACTTATCTCTCCAAGATGGGATCCTTTAGTCACCTAGCCTGGCAACATAGTTTCTTGGTCACCTAGGCGTCTTCCCAGGGCCGGTTCACTTATAGATCTAATCCACCGTCATAGATGGTAACTCGGTGGTGGCACAGTGGCGGCAGCAGCTCCTATGCAAAGGCCTGGCGGAAGAGCTCCGTCTTACAGGCCCTGCGGAACTGTGCCAAGTCCCGCAGGGCCTGGATCTCCTCTGGGAGCTCGTTCCACCAGACAGGAGCCGCCGCCGAGAAAGCCCTGGCCCTGGTTGCGGCCAGCTTGATGTCCTTGGGGCCTGGAACCACTGTCACTGCTTAGTCCTCGTGGCCCTTTCTTATATGCCCAGGGTAATGCTAATCACCACTTCAGGGTCAGGGAACCATTTTTCTCCAGCCCAGTTTGGCCGGGAACTTGGAGGGGTTCCCCCCCCTTCTTCTGGGCATGGAGCAGGGGTCACTCAATGTGTGGGGGAGGGGGAGGTAGTTGTGAATTTCATGCATTGTGCAGGGGGTTGGACTAGATGACCCTGGAGGTCCCGTCCAACTCTATGATTCCAGCCTGGGCTATCCAGGTCAGGAGACAGTCAGAACGACTCAAAATACTGCTAATTCTCGATTGCGATCCTCTCATTGATATGACTGGGTGGGGGGACTCGATCGGAGAAGAAATCAGTACTGCAGGCGAGGTAATTTTTGGACGTCCCGTTAGATCTTTTAAAAACCGACTGTTCTTTCAAATGTGACTTCTACAGAAGCAAAGCTGTGCAGGGAGCGCCCACGCTCTTGGCCCGAACTGTCCCTCTGGAGTTCTTCGCTGCTGAAACCCATTCAGGAGTGACAAATGGGTTCCATCATGTGATGGATTTAGTTTGGTAGAGACAGCCACTCGACACCACGCCAGCTGTGTCTGGGGGTGTGGGGGACAAGGTGAGAGAAAGCCAATCCCTTTTGTCAAATAAGAGTCTTAACCGGCTGACTAGCCAGGCGAGTCTGTACTGACCGGTCAGGTGATTTCTCCGTCTCCCTGCCAATTGCTTTTCCTGATGCGGGATCCCACTGAACCGTCGCAGGAGGACGTAGACTTCTCTCTGCTGAAATGCGATTCTGACAATACTTGTTGCTGTACAAGTTCAGCTGAAGAGGATGTCCTATGTGCTCTTCACACAGGAAGTCCCCAGTTCGATCCTTGGTATGGCCAGGAGGAGGAGGAGGAGGAGGAGGAAGAAGAAGAGCTGGATTTTATACCCTACTTTACTCTACCTTAAAGGTAAAAGGTAAAGGTTTCCCTTGCTCGAAAGCCAGTCGAATCCGACTCTAGGGTTGCGGTGCTCATCTCTGTTTCAAAGCCGAAGAGCCAGCGCTGTCCGAAGATGTCTCCGTGGTCATGTGGCCGGCATGACTAAACACCAAGGCGCACGGAACGCTGTTCCCTTCCCACCGAAGTGGTACCTATTTATCTACTTGCAGTTTCATGCTTTTGAACTGTTAGGTTGGCAGGAGCTGGAACTAGAGACGGGAGCTCACTCCGTCATGCGGCACACTCGGGTCTCGAACTGCTGAACTACCGACCTTCCACAGCCTGCAGTTCAGCGTCTTAACCCCTTGAGCCACCGCAGCTCTACCTTAAGGAGTCTCAAAGCCATTTACAATCGCCTTGAACACAGGGACCCATGAAGTTGCCTTGTGCTGGATCAGGCCCTTGGTCCATCAAAGTCAAGGTCAACTGGCCGGTGCTTGGATGGGAGACCTCCGTGGAATACCAGGATCATGAGAGATATCTAGGAATCCAAATACCATTAAAATTACAAGAATTATATGACTCAAATTATTTACCACTTATTGCAGAGGTAAAAACTATGCTAGAAAATTGGAATAAACAAAATCTATCTTTATTAGAAAAAATTGAATCAATAAAAACTTTTATTTTTCCAAAATCTCTTTTTTTATTTCAAAATGTACCAACGAAAATAGAAAAGGATACATTTAAATATGGCAAAATTATTTTTCCAAATTTCTCTGGTCAAATAAAAAACCTAGAATTAATTTTGATACTCTGACTAAACCAACAAAACAGGGAGGTCTTGGTCTCCCAGATTTAGAACAATATTATAATGCAGCACAACTCAAATCGATAGCATATTATGGACAGTAATTGCTCCACCAGTATCTCCAATAACAGTATTTATAAAGCAACCATGGTTTATACCAGGTTCCGACTTTAAATTATGGAAAGAAAAGGGATTGTTTCGATTAAACGGATGCTTACCAAACAACAATTGGAGGAAAAATACAAATTTGAAATTCCATGGTTACAATATTCCCAAGTTAAACACTTCTTACATAACCCTAATATTTCACAAATGATATGTAGACCACTAATACAATTTGAATATTTTATTCTTGCTAGTAAACAGTCAGCAAGGGGATTGATTTCTTTAATATATCAATTATTGAAACAACAAAAATGGAACCAGCTCACCTCAGTACAAAAAGCTTGGCATAAAGATTGTGGATTAGAAATTGATAAAGATCAATGGGAAAATATTTGGTCTAATTATCTTTTTAAAACTAACGCACTGAATATTAAATTCCAAAATTTTAAAATATATTCACGATGGTACTTAACACCTCAAAGGTTAGCACATATAATACCCAATGTAAGCCCACAATGCTGGAAAGGATGCGGAAGTACTGGAACATTTAAACACTGTTGGTGGGACTGTCCTTCTATTGTTAAGTTTTGGAATGAAATATTAGAACATATTGAGAAAATCCTAGGAACAAAGGTACCACATACTCCCGAATTTATACTTTTAAATTATTGGCCAGATATTAAAAAACCTGGAAACAAAATGGATCTCCTATTAATTTTTCTCATTGCAGCAAAAACTTTAATAGCACAAAACTGGAAATCAAAACAAATTCCAAGTGTACGGCAGTGGTACATAAAGGTATGGGGACTTGGCAGCCACAGACAAACTAGCATCCCAGATGGTAGCAGCTGACCGGATTAAGACATCAACTGACTTTATGAAAAGATGGTTTTCTTTTTTTTTGACTTTGTTACTAATTCTACAAATAAGATATGTTTGGTACCTAAGAAATATCTAAAATTTGTATTGTATTAATAGTTCAATAATGTTTATATTCAGAGTCTGTAAAATGTAAAGGATGTTGTAAAGCAAAAACTATAAAGTTTGTAGTTTAAGATGTTTGATGGTTTGTATTTTTATATAAATGTTATTAATAAAACTAAAAAAAAATTAAGTTTTAAAAAAAATAAGAGAAGCCTAGCAGCATCAACTTCTAATGTGGACTATGGTACCAACACCTTAGTCTACATCAAAGGCCCTCTGGAACAGGGAGTTCTATAAACAATTTGGAATGCCGTGATGCAGCCATGCAACTCCTGGGACAGGGCATTCCATAGGTGTGTGTGGTGGAGGAGACAGCTGAAGAGGTCTTCCCTTCCCTTGGGTAACAGCCAACTAAACTGTACTTCAGTTTAGGCTGGTTTCCTATGGAAGGCCCCCTCCTGTGAATCTCAAACTCTCGAGTGAAAGAGTAGAGACACAGATGGTCCTTAAGTTGGGACCCAAGTTAGCTAGGGCTCTAAAGGTCAAAATCAGCTCCTTATACTAGTCCTGGAAACAAGCCAGAAGTCAGAGTAGATAGCACAATGGCTTCGATATGATCACACCAGTATGTCCCAGTAATGACTGTAAGCGTCTGCTCTTTATACCAACTGTAGTTTCTGTACCATCTTCAAGGGCAGCCCCACAAAGTGTGTTATAGTCGTCGTCCAGATGTTTTACTAAGGCATGCGTAATTGTGGCAAGATTGCCTTTCTCTAAGAACAGGTACAGCTGGCAAACAACCGACCAGCTTAATATGGGCAGTAACACCTGTCACCCCCACTCCGTGATTCCCTTCCAGCCACTTGGCATTTCCCCCAGCAACAATTACCAGTCTCACAGCATACCGTTCCAGTCTCCTAAATACCTATGACTCCTCACCTCCCCCTCTCCCAGTCTGCCCTAACAAAATGATGACGCAAGAGAATTCCATGCACTTCTCTGTAGTTTTATCTCTGCTCCAATCCATTAAAGACATTTCCATAAGTCCCCATTGTCCTTACCTGAAGGTAGGCAGGGAACATGTCCTCCAGCTTGCTCTTCTTTCTACCACGCCGCTTGCTCTTCTTCTCATCACCCTCAGCCGCTCCCTGCTCAGGAGCACCCTCTGCAGGGATCTCAGAAAGTTGAGCCCCTGGAAGAAAAAGAGGGCTGAGTTGCCATTAGCATGCCCCAGCTTAATGGGCAGGGGTGGGAGTATTTAATAAACCCACGGAGTTTGCAGTCTGGCTCAGCTCATGCTGTTTTGCAGGTTCAGAGACTAGGAAGAAAAGGGGATGGGGACAACTGTGCAGGACTGGACTGAAGACAGGATTTTAGGAGGCGGACAGAGAGCTGTGCGAGAGCTTACCCCAAACCCTAATGTCCACCCCATTCCTTTCCAGCTCTATCCCTTTTTTCTCATGACCTGCTAAATATCCTCTAAATTTTAAAACCTGGCTCCTCAAAACCACAATTCTGCCGAGCCACTGAACACCTGCAAAAACATGCCTCATTTGCATAGCAAATATGTATGCAGAATATACTCTCAGGCTGCTAATGGAGAATGGAGGGCATCAACAATAGTCTTTTTAAAAAGTACAGATGGAATAGACTCCACCTAACATATTAAGTTAGGGAAGCTTCGAGAAGAACAACAGAACCCCCCTACCATGTCATTCCAAATTACAAGCATCAAGGATGACTAACAAAATACAGCCACAGCACTTACCCTCTTCAGGGTGCCCCTCCACACCAGTCACCTCACGAGAGACTTCCGCCAAAACTGGGCAGCCCTTTTTCAAGCGTGTGTGTGACTTCCGTTGCCGCACCATAAACCCTCCAATCCCTGTGCCAGGAATAGGATGGGGAAGGAGTTTAGTGACAGCACAGTGGGACTTCCCTCCCTCCCAGGTCCTGTCCCTGGTAGGGAACCACTCACCAGGGCGGTATGGCTTCCGCTTCCGTTTCTTGACCTCCTCCGAGTCCTCCAGAAGGCCCTTGCTCAAGTCGGCATCTGCAGCAGCTTCCCTGTCTGGGGTAGCCGGAGCTTCCAGTTTGATCTCACACTCCATGTGCTCAACGCTCACTGCAAGTGGAGGGGAAGAGAGATGACTGGATAAGATGCACCAGTCTACCCACTACTCCCAGCCCTTACCTACTACCTCCTTCCTCCCTTTCTCACAACAATATACATTCCATGTGTACCAGACTCATAAGAGGCTCATCATAGCCCCCTTTCCCCACAGACCACTGAGTTCAAACTTAGTTATGAAGTTTGAAACGTAAAACTTAAATGATAAATACAATTGTACCCCAACAGAAATAAGAATTATTGTATTTTATAGGTAATAAATAATGTATATGAAGGGGATGAAAAGGAAAATATTCTCTGTTCTATACATTATGAACTACATGTTTGTCTTTGACAAATGACCCATTTTTTTCTTTCCCCCCTTTTCTGTACACACGTTTTTCTCAAACAATATATATATATATATATTTTAATAATTAACTCTTAATTTCCACACAGAGAGAAAATCTCTCGCATTTGATTTTGGTGCACTGCTTTTGAATTTCTGCTGCCAGACAGATTTAACTCCACTGAGCTAAACAGATCATGAGTTTAAATAAGTGCCAGGCAGCGCCACTATAGTCACACTCCAATATACATGGCTCCTCGTGAAGCCTGCAGGAAGGGCACAAACCTTCAGCTTTCAGGATCTCCTCTGCCTCTACATCACCGTCTTTTTTCTCATCTGGGCCCAGAGGGTCAGCTCCTTCCAGCCCACCTTCGCCATTGAGGGTACACGGCCGTGGTGTCGTTGGTGTTGCCTTACGCGGCCGGCGCTTGTGCAATGGTGACAAAGACAGGTTACGAAGCACAGCCATACCAGTTTCTGTCAGCCAGACACCTTCAAAACGAAAATACTGGGGCTCTGTAAGACAAAAAAGAAGAGTGGAATTTGGCAGGTGGGTCAAACTAACTAGTCCAACACCTCAAGTGTTACTTAGCAGGACTAGACAGAAGTTTAACATCACTTCAGCCCACTAAATTCTATTCTTTTCCTGAAGCTGAGAATCGTACGCCAGAAGTCTGGGCCTGCGTTTGTTCCTGATACAAAACCTTCTGTATTTGGGACAGACAAAAGCAAGTACATCTTCATTTGAAGAGTAATTCACTTGGGGAATTCACCACCAAAGGTTGTTCTGATGGTCACAAATTGGCTGGTTTTAAATGGGGATTATAGCCCAGCGCAGCCCAATCTCACCAGATCTTGGAAGCTAAGCAGGGTCGGTCTGGCTAGTATTTGGATGAAGACCTCCAAGGAATACCAGGGTTGTGACACGGAAGCAGGCAATGGCAAACCACCTCCGAATGTCCCTTGCTTTGAAAACCCTATGGGGTCAACCATACGTCAGCCGTGACTTGATGGCAAAAAACAACAAACACAAATTTGTGGAGGATGACAACCTTTGATGGATCTACTGGCACAATGACTAAGCAGAACCTTCATGTTCAAAGGCAGTAATACCACAAATACTAAGTGATGGAAGGCAAGACAGGGGGAGGCTCTGGCCTCTATTGCCTGCTTTCAAGATGTCTAGGAGCATCTAGTTGGCCACTGTGTGAAATGCAGTGCTGCAGTAGAGATTCAGCATGGCTGTTTGTATTATTTGTATCCAACCCAATGCTTATTCCCTCTAGTTCAGACTTGCCCAACAGGGATTATGAGCTAGAAACACGTGGTCAAAATTCTGGATGCAGAGGACTCTCATTGGATGCTCATGTTCTACATTAAAAGCAACTAAATTCTGTTCCAACAACTACTAAACTTTGTAACTTGAGCAAACTATGCAAATGTGCATAGATCTGCACAATTTATTCTCCTTCTCTGATCACCAGGAGCTTTGCAGAGCATGAAGCCTCACTTCCTAATCAACAAAATCCTTTTCAGACCATCTATTTAAGCACTAATATTGCTAATAAGAACAGCAATAATAATAACACATTATAAAGAAAATGAACAGTTAATTAGTGATGAAGGAAGGACTAGCAACAATAACCAGTGGAATTCCAAAACAGGCATACTTGGATCAGTGAACATTTACGTAATCACATCATATTTTAAACTAGATTTGACTACTTAATAAACCAGGATGGAGCCATTGTTGGATTTGCCCCTCAGATTTTTCCAATGAATTTCAAAAACAGTAGCCATCTATTTGTGAAATCAGTTGTGTATGATATGATGGATTGTCAATAAGTTTGAGCTGTAGGAGACTGTCCAAGATGAAGTGTGTCCCAGATGAAGTGATCCCAAATCTTGATCACTGACTGCGTGTTTTCAAAACAAATTTAGAGTCCAGTGACACCTTTAAGATCAACAAAGGTTTATTCAAGGTATGAGCTTTTGTGTACGTGCACACAAAAGCTGCGGTGGCTCAAGTGGTTAAGACGCTGAACTGCAGGCTGTGGAAGGTCAGTAGTTCAGCAGTTCAAGACCCGGGTGCCGCATGATGGAGTGAGCTCCCATCTGTAGTTCCAGCTCCTGCCAACCTAGCAGTTCGAAAGCAAGAAATTGCAAGTAGATAAATAGGTACCACTTCGGTGGGAAGGTAACAGCGTTCCGTGCACCTTGGTGTTTAGTCATGCCGGCCACATGACCACGGAAACGTCTTTGGACAGCGCTGGCTCTTCGGCTTTGAAACGGAGATGAGCACCGCAACCCTAAAGTCGGATTCGACTGGCTTTCGAGCAAGGGAACCTTTACCTTTACTTTACACTTTTTCAAATACATCGGAATGGAAGGTAAGAGTTCAAACTTACAGACACAGGCTGAAGAGCAAATGAACATGTAACATGATGATGTTTTAAGATATGCAAAGACAAAGCTAAATAACAAGCTAAGGTTATAAGGCCAACAGCTGTTTTGATTAAATAAGGGGAGGAAACAGTAAAGCAATAAATATGTCAAAATAGGAAATAAATGTGTAAAAAACTGTATTTTCTAATTGTGGAAAGTAAACTGAGACTCTCCATTTGCCTCCTCTCAGGCATGGAGGTCACAGCATTTTTTTCTTAACTGAGGTGGGTGTAGTGTTCTATCAGCAAAACATTCCAATATTCCTTGCATTACATTTAGAATTCTTATACACTGTTCTGGAAAAGAAATACACTAAAATACAGAGGACGTATAGTCCTTCTTGTTGTATTTTTAAGCTCATCCACAACCATGAGGACCAGAACCTTGCCCTTTCTTTACTTACAGGTATGAGCTGGAACCCTCAGAAGCAGAATTCCACAACCAATTTTTAACACTGTGCTTTTGCTATGAAGTCTGGAGATGCACAAAATACATTCAGCTCTACTTGTACATCAAACAAACAACTCAAGCCAAAAGGAGATAACAAAGCAATGTGAATGGTGGCATTTAAGGTCCAGGCGAAACAAGACTCTAGCAAAAAACTGGGCTTGTGCTATGAACTTCTTAGGACTATGGATGGGCACCAACTGAATTAGAAACCAAAATTCGTCATGAGTTTGTTCGAGCCATCCCGACCTCACGAGCCCGCATGAACCTCCCAGGTGGGTTCGTGTGGTTCATGTTGGCAGACATGCTTGCACTGGTGGCAGGGCTTGGAGACGGTATTTAAAGAAACAGTGGTTAAAGGAATCCCTTTAAATGGTTTTTGGAATCTATGCACCACCGCACGACTCACAACTGAAGGCATTTGAAAGCCTTCTCAGTTGACTCACAAGTGAACTGGAAAGGCATTTAAATGCCTTCTCAGTGCTCTTGAGAGTCATGCCGAGTCAACTGAGAAGGCATTTAAAGGTTCCCTTTAAATTTCAGTGATCCCTTTTGCTGAAATGGTTTGCAAAACCCATTTAAAGGGAATGTTCCCTTTCAAGGACTTTTGCAAATGTGCGCCGCATGGGAGTGAAGTCCAAGAAGTGGTGAATTAGCTGCTTGGACTCCACTCCTATGCAGTGCCTGCTTGCAAAACCCATTTAAAGGGAACATTCCCTTTAAATGAGTTTTGGAAGATCTCCCCCACCCCCAATTCTGCTGGCCTCAGGGAGCTACCCCCAGGAGAAAGGAGGAGTGGAAGATCCATGAATCCGAACCAGTTCACGAAGCAGGAGAGATTCGTCCCAGTTCATGGTTTGTGGGACCTCATGAACCACAAACTGGGATGAACCTCCATTTTCCTAGTTTGTGCTCATACTTACTTAGCACTACAAAAAGATTTCAGACCTCAAGCTCCTGGTTGAAATCTCTATAAAAAGTGGGCTACAGGTGGTCCTGTTTATTAGCCTATTGATTTATTCATCGCTTTCCTATATAAATGAGATTTACTCCAAGGAACTCACAAATCATAACCAGAAGAAAAATCAATAATTACTTAAAATACTATCAGTAACAGAAGAACAACAATTAAGAACAGTGCTAATGAAAACCCCACTCCATAAAACATTTACAGTTGGAACGGGGGGGGGAAATCTTCAAAAACTACCCTCCCCCAAATCAACAGGCTTCATAGTTTGAGAACCAGAGCCACACACAGAACAAGCAGACAGACAGATGAAGCCCCCCCCACCCCCAGTAGAGGCTAGTTAAATCCAAACAATCTACCCTGGGGCAGTTTAGGAATGTCACTTGGCCTTGGTTGCTGGCTGTGGGGAGTGTGTGTGTGTTTATAGAGGACCAAGGTACAAGGGACAGTTTACCATTTTAATCAATCATTGACAGTTTTCATACCCACACAATAAAAAAGCTAATCTTCTCCAAGAAGCTTACCTGGCTCCTTGATCTTCACTGGGACAATTTCTGGAGGGGGAACTGAAACTTAAAGGGAAAGAAAGGCAAAAAGAGGTAAGAGGCATGAGCTATTCCCTATGGCTGCCTTCTTGAACCCCTCCCCACCATCCCAAAAACCCATGCAATATGGAATTCAGATATTTTGAGGATATGCATCACTACTGCCCTTACCCTTGTCCTCCTGCTCTGCTCCCATAGAAGTGTTCTCATTATTCCAGTGCACAGTTATGCCTTTCCCTGTCCACTCTCAGCAACTTCAGTGCTATCAATAGCATGCCGCTGTTTCTTCCAACACTTCTGCCATTTCTAACTTCCATTATCAGTCAGACTTCCATAGTTTCAGCTAATCCAAAGGTACATCCTCCCCCGCTTCATGCAGCCATGGCATGCCCTGTCTGTGACCTCCCCCCCATTTCGAAAGGCAAATGTACCAATAGGTCTATTTCCCCTTTAAAAGGAGATACTTTCCTACCCCTTTCCACTACCCCCCTCCCCCTTCCAGTCCCCACTCTTGAAACACTAGATTCGAGCAAAGCCATTTCAAGGGCAAGAAGGAAAAGTGGGTGGCTGTCAAAAAAATTTAAAAGGGGAAGCAAACCTGCCCTCCAAATTTAGAGAAACAGAAAATCTTCACTTCCACCAGGCAGTATCCTATCATCTCTATATGGGGGGCACCTGGAATTTACCACATCCCCTGCTATCGCTACAGTCCCCTCCAGCTCCCAGAAAGATCACTCCCAGGGTCACCAGACCTGTGCACGGGGACAGTTGTGAGGGCTGAGGGGTCGGGACAAAGAAACAAAACTGCACCCCTTCTTTCATCAGAGCTGCGTGTGCAGGATGGGGACAGTGATTTCACTCGAGCACCCCACGGATCCACGGAGGTCCTGCAATCCCAGGACCAGGTCCCTCCAGGGGGCAGAAAGAAGAGCAGCACCTCCTACACCTTCTCCACACAACATGGTAGGATACTGCCCACTGTCTAGTACAGCGGGCTCCCATTTCCTCTTTTTGTAGCTCAGCCCATCTGAGTACTCACCTACAGGCTTGACTATATAGGGCTGACACGAGGTACAGTCAAACCCCTCATCTGCTGCCTGCTCTACTTCTTCCTCAGTGAAAAGATTGTCACACACTGCATGCATCCACCTGAAAAGCACAAAACGTTTTAAATGGCTGAAGACAGAGCCAGAGGGTGCCTGCACTTCCTTCTCTGTGGGGCCTGGCCGTGCTACTGAGCCCCTGAAGCTGATCGGTCTGGGCTGGGGAACGGGGGAGACTTGAGAAGCTGAAAGAAAAATACAGGATCTCTCCAGACCAAACCGTGTATTGTGCATGTTCACGAGCATATGCAGTGCTATTTTCAGGTACTCTGCAAAGCCCACAGCTTACCAGAGGCACTCGAAGGCAAGGAAACTGGGAACCAAGGCCAGCTAGGTCTACTGAGCACTTGCCCCTCTCCTGTCCAGGTACTTTGCAAAGCCTAGTGCTTGACAGAAGTGTGTGGCAAAGGGCCCCTGTGGCTCAATGTGTGCAGCATTAGCAGCACCCAGAGATTTTGTCCCGGGGGGGTGGGGGTGGTTGACTTATCTTTCTCCCTAGGACACTGAGACTCGTGGCTGCCCTGCCATCAGCAATGGCAGGAAGATGACGTTTACCCGCAGGCATCTGGACCAACCCATCACTACACTCTCAGTGCTACACCAGCTTCCAACATCCGCGAGAGAATGGCAAGCACTACTAAGCTGCCCAAGCTCCTTACTGTGTTCAAGAGCTATGTTACTGGTTTGATCATAGCACTGTTTCAACTTAGATTAGCACCTGCCTTGGGTTCTCCGCTTTGGTGCAGGTACAAATATCTGAAACAAGGGATGGTCTCCTATATGTCTCTATGGGCCAACTAAGTTTGTCAAGCAGCCGTGTTGGCTCTCCCGGCACTTAGGTTCACCCATTTGGCATGAACCAGAGCCGGGGCCTTTTCCATCCTGGCTCCTGCTCTGTGGAACGGACTCCCTGAAGAGGTGGGGGGGGGCCCCTCCTTGGAGATCATCAGGATGTGATGCAAGGCTTGCTTGTTAACCAGGGCTTTGAATGGCAAACTTCTTTTTTTGGGGGGGGAAGAGATTTGGGGTTTGCTATTTTATCTTTTGATTTTAACTGAAAATATTTTTACTTCCTTTGTTTGTGCTCCTCTTTTAGTGACAATTGTTTTCCCTACCTATGGAAGAATAGTCTTCACCTTCTTTCTCCCAAACGACCACAGCCATTAGAAGAAAACCATTTACACTCCAGGAAAGAAACACTATGGAATGATGCAAACAACCTAGCGCCACATATTTGTCACACGACAGGCCCATCACCTGTAGCCTACAAGAGATCAAGCCCAACATCACCATGATTTTTCCCTCCACAAATGATCCTAAGGTGGCCACAAGTGACGTTAATTATGGCCAGAGGCTACAAACCACTACCTTGTCACACACTTCCAGATGCAATGGATCAATCTTTCAGCTGGCTGTTCCAAGGGTCCCATTTGTACGGACTCACCCCCACATCAGTAGCTTCAAAAGGGAGGTTTAGTGACAGCTTACAAGCAGGGCTCTTTTTGTAGCAGGAACTCCTTTGCATATTAGGCGACACGCCCCCTAATGTAGCCAATCCTCCCAGAGCTTACAGAGCTCTTCTTACAGGGGTTACTGTAAGCTCTTGGAGGATTGGCTACATTAGGGGGGGTGTCGCCTAATATGCAAAGGAGTTCCTGCTACAAAAAGAACCCTGCAGAAAAGCCTGGGAAAACAGAAAGAAGAATTCTGGGATTCTACCACGTGACTTCTCAAAAGGTTACTCCTACAAGAGTAAGGCAGCAAACTCTTATTATAATCCTTTACAAGAAGTACTTGCACTGGTTGATATGAATACATTATGTTATATGGGCATGTATGTAAATGGGGTAAGTAAAACCAGGTCTTACCGCTCACAATGCTGGCACTGGATTAATAAGTCATCCTCCACATACTTCACATGGCAAATGGGACAGGTGACAAGACTGGCGCAGGGCGCGCAGTGGGTGTAATTGTTCTGCCATTCACAATGGAAACCAGGTGATACTGCCCCACACTGCACACAGCACACACACCTGCCAAAGACAGAGAGATGAGGAGAGGGAATCAGTGCTTGCCCTGTGACCCAGCCCATCATCCTACCTCAAACCAGGGAGACTGTTTAAACTGGGAACAGCAGCTCAGCCCCTTTGTTTATGGCTATATATATTACACGCAGCAGCTTCACGCATGTGCAAAATCTGTGTTTTTATAGAAAGGTTCCACTTAACTCAGACTGACACAATCACTTGCTTTAAAAAAAAGGATATGATTTTCAGTAATACACAGTACTGAACTTCTCTTGGTATCTTGTAGTGCAATTAAGTTACAGTATGAAGACTCTCAAAGTATCTGGAAAACATGGCTGAACATGGGGATGGGGGGAGAACGGCCCAGGCCTCATACAAGAAAGGAGATTAACAAATACAAAGGGGACTATATTTTAACAAGCAATAGTCCCACAGGGCTAGCAGAGAGTGAAATCCCATCCTCTTCCCACCCACTCACTGGAACACCCCTCCCTCCAGGCCACTCACTCACTGGCCAGCCTGCCCACCTGCAGCACTGCTGCCACTAGCCGCTGGGCTCATGTGGTGGCACTTGCAGCTGCTCCTGCTTCTCTTTGACTGGCTCATGTGGCCATTGGTGGCTCCTGCTCCTCTGCCAGCTACATAGCTCATGTGGCGGTATTGAGGAAGTCAGCCCTTGGAAGCCAGCATCTCCACCAGATAGCTGGAGGAGGCACCCAGCCCCCAGGGAGAGGAGGAGGACGGGGGGGGGGGTGCTTCACCCATTTCATCTCTCCCAAGAGACACCTCCCGCTGCGAACAGGAGGAGGAGCGCTGCCTCAAAATGGTTGCTGTTTCCTCCAGCATGGTAATTAAAGAAAACTTTAAATTTAATGTTTTTTCTTCTCATTGGTAGGATTTTGATGCAAACTTGGAGGCTGACCCAGATTTGTATAGACATCCCTCTACTCTGTGCCTGGTGCTACTGTGTGGATTTAATGATCCACAGGCCAAGGTCCCAGTTCAGAATTAGACACAGAAACTTTCCCATCCTAGTCCTTCTAAGGCAATAATATAAGTCAATGAAAACGCAACAGGTAGTTTCAGTACTTTGCCTTGCCCTCTATTTACTGGGCCACTGACTGTGTTGGGAGCCATCCTGGCTGGAGGATAGGGGAATGGAGCTATCACCCAGCAAGTGACAGAATGGAATACTTATTGGCTCAGTTCAAATTCCAGAATAGAAAGCACTGCAAGTGCCCCCCAGGCACTAGTTAGAGGTCAAGCATATTAAAAACATAAGGATCACATTTCAGGAAGGAATACTAAACTTTATATGTGAATCCAATAGGGTTTTTTCTTTAGATTTTACGTCTTGAAAATTTCTGCTGTTAAGCAGAGATGGGTTTTGAAAACATGAAATGCAAACAAAACCCCCAAAGCAATACCCTGAGACAAAAAGGACATTAATACTGGTCACAGCCAGGAGAAAGAATACTCAGCCCCCAGGCTTCTCAGACTTAGAAGGGGCGCTGCTATGGAAACCTAGTTATGGAGGTATGTTTGGGGGGGATGCATCCAAGGGCTCTCTTGGCAGGTACCCTGAAGTGTTTTCCACACAGGGATGGGTGGTTTCCTGTTGCCTGTTCCTGATAGAGCAAAATGGCAAAACCTGTTGCCACTGCAGCTGCTGATAGAACAAAATGGCAAGAGTGCAGTGCTACTCACTCCGCAGCTCATGGAGAGCCATACAGGAAATTACCATCAACCAAAACAGCCACATTTGCTTCCATCCCTGGCATGAGACCAGTGTTCCCTCTAAGCTGAGTTAGTGTGAGCTAGCTCACAGGTTTTTAGCCTCCGGCTCACACATTTTTGTCTCAGCTCAGGACGGATGGCTCCAGAGCAAACTAATTTATGCAGTAGCCAAATCGCTCGCTCACAACTTTAATGCTGGTAGCTCACAAAGTAGAATTTTTGCTCACAAGACTCCACAGCTTAGAGGGAGCATTGCATGAGACCTACATCTCAAGGAGGCTTGCAGCTTAACTGTTCCTCTGGTGGCCACAGTTTCAAGGTGGGAGCCATCTGCCAACCACAACCCCATTGGGCAAGAGTCTTGCCCTCATTCCTGAAACATGGGGCAAGTGCCACACTGGGGGAACAGTGTTCAGAAAAAGCTGCATGTGGGATTGCCAAACAGCCCTCTGTGGCTCCCAAGCCACTGAGTATCACCACAATAGGAGGCTTCCACATGGCAGGCTTCTCTGCATTTCCCCTGCCCTAGTACCCTGCAGTGGCCACTTCCCTACCCTGCCACTGGAGGGCTTTTTTAAAAAACTTGGCAACTGACGTATTGTTATAACATTATAATGATCTGTCTTGTCAGGTTCTTTGAATCATCAGCTTTCATTTAAAAATGAAGTCTGTAGCCCCTTTCATTGTAGTCGTAAGGGGAAAGGCATGTTGCTGCAATGAAGAGGGCTAGAGACTTACCTCGTTTCTTTAAATGAAAGCTGTGAATTCGGAGAACCCGTCAGACTGAACATTGTAATGGTATAAACAACATGTCAATTGGTGTTTTTTTTTTAAGCCCTCCAATAGCAGGGTGGGGGGAAATGGCTGCTGCAGGGGACGGGGACAGGGAAAATCACACCAACGTGGGCAAACTGGAAAGATCCTCATTCGTGTCGATGTCACCCCAGCTTTGCTGCTACCTTTCCCAGAGCATTGCAATAAAGCTGGTTTGGGAAAGACTGCAGGAAAGCTGAGGAGAACCCAGGAGGTGCCTGGAAGCATCACAATGCTGTACGGAAGGGAGGGGGGGGAAGCCTATTTTCCAATTACCATCCCCCACTGGGGCAAACAACCTGTGACAAGATGACCCCAGTCAATACTCTCCCCCAAGAATTACACCTGATATAGGCCTTCCAATGCCAGCTAATGCCAAAGCCTCTTTTCAATTAGATTCTTATCCTGGTTTCAGATTTAGTATTAACCCATATTACTATAATGATAATTTTTACTAAAATTAAAACATCCACTTTGTCTTACTGTAAATTGCCTCGGACAGTGGATTTCAAGTGGAATGGTTGCATAGAAAGACTCTAAAGAAATAAACTGAAAATTAAATAGAATTCCATCACAGGGAGAACAGCTGATTAAGCTTTAATCCATTACAGCAATGGAGAAATTAAGTTTTCCCACGGATTTGTGACTCACTACTCAAGAGAATTGTGGGTTTGTTTAAAACAAGAACACCAGAAGCAAGCTTCGAGCCTTCGTAACTGTGGAGAAAGACTTGAAAAAATGTGGGCAGTCTGTCTAGCAAAACAGATTATACAAGTCCAGCACACATATGTAAAGCTGTGTACCTGATACCGGCTAGATAATTTATTTACCTGATTTATAACTTGTTTTCTGTCACAAGTTGTTTGCATCATTTTAAAAACAAAGGGGTGGTTTTTTTGTCCAGCCCCACTCCAAATCTCACAATATATTGCTCCCTGCTAGTCTGCCTTGGATGTTATTCCATTGGTGGCCTTGGAACAGCAGGTGCTGAGTGGCATGCGCTCTGGCCCCATGCTTCCACGATCAGAAATCATTAGCATCCCTATAACCAAGGAGGGAGGAGCTAGGTGCCACTCTGCCTCAGATATTTTTTATCATGCTTTTCTAGCCAGGCAACTCCAATTTTCTGTAGAGCACAAAAGTACACAGAGTCCTGCCCTTAAAACCCTTCTGCCGAAACCCTCGTCTCTCACCATTTACACTTCCAGCCTCCCTTGGGCACAGTGTTGAGGGGCGGGTCCAGGCAATACGTGTGGTAGCTGATGTCACAGTCGTCGCACAACAACAGACGAGACGGGTCGGATGCTTTGCCGCATACTTCACACACGATGCATTCTACACAACGCCAGCCCTTGAGCAGCATCACCTTGGTAATCTTTAAGAAGGAAGGAGGAACAAAACTGGAGCCCTACATGCTGTGGCAGAAGAACTGGGGAGGGGGTGCGACTTGGCAAGGCAGTAGGCATGTAGGAGGGACACAGTCTACAAAGGCCCCACTAAATATAGAGACACCCACACCCGGCCTGGCAAAATGACTAACAGTCCCACATCATTAAACCCACAAAGAGTGTTGAGCAATTTGGTTTGGTTCTCAAGGAACCAGGGGCCCAGTGGAATTTTCATGTGGCAGCTGAATCCACTACAACCCCTGTTTTTTAAAACCCAGGCTCCCTGTTCCTATGCAATATATTCCTGAGACCCCAAACCTCTTGAGAGGGAAAAATTAAAACACTTGAAGATGGATCTTGATTTTTCAAACTCTACTAAAGTTACCATTTGAAATTTAAGTGCAAGGTTCCTGGGGATGCGGTAGAGGTCCTGAGACACTGCCTGACTGCTGTGGTTAAATGGCTGAGAGTGAAGAAATGGACACTGAACCCTGACAAGATGGAGACAATGCTGGCTGGGAAGACTGAGGTTTCGAAGGACACTGTGTTTCCTACGTTTGATGGGCTTCAGCCTACCCTTGCTGACTCGGTCAAGAACCTAGGACCCAGTATCACTAATGGAGACGCAAATTAATGCAGCAAAACACACTTTCTTCCAACTTAGTTTAACCTGGAAGATGCCCCCCTACCATCACTTTGCTACTGCAATGCACTCTACATAGGTCTCCCCTCAAAATCAACTCAAAAACTCCAGTTAGTGCAGAATGCTGCAGCTCAATTATTATTAGGAGTTAGGTGTAGTGTGTATATTACCCCCACTCTGGAGTCACTCCATTGGCTCCTCATTAGTTATCAGATTCAATTCAAGGTACTGGTCCTCAGATACAAAGCCCTTCATAGCCTTACATCCTCAGGGTCGCAGGACCGCCTCTCCTCAGAACGCTTTGCCATGACAACTTTAGTCATCTGAACAAGGCCTTCTACAGATTCTACCCTGAGGATGGGCAAGATCAACAACTGCCTGTACACATGCATTTTCTGTAGTGGCCCCTTCCTTATGGAATGGATTACCTGAGGAGGTCAGGAAGGCTCCCACACTTTTGGCTTTCGACAAACTATGTGAAACAGAGGGCATTTTTATAAAGGAAATAGGCTGCATTATGACAGGAAGACATCTCAATAGACAGAACAGGACTGTGGACTACACCACTACTAAGTATTACCTGCCGCTGTATGTTTTTATCTTGCTTTCACTGCATATGCAATACCATTTCTTGCACTGTTTAACATGGCATACTTAACACTTATGCCTTATTTCAGATTCCTGCGATCCTAGTCCTATTACATGTCTCCTCGTGCTTTTGATTGTACTGACTTGCATTATGTAATCCACCTTGAGTCTCAGGGAGAAAGGCAGACTATAAATAACATAAATTAAAATATTTGCACGTATGGCACGGCACAACGCTTACCTTGCTATTGACGCAGTATGGATGGTAACACTGAGAGCATTGAGAACATGCGAGGAGATGTCCCTCAGCGCCACGGCCAAAGCTACCACAGACGACACACATGTCCTGCCAGGGAAAAGAGAGAGGCGTCACAAAAGACCCGGCAAAGTGCGGGGGGGGGGGAGTCTCCTCCGTTCTGTATTATTTATTACATTAATATTCTGCCTACTCTGCATTTTACAACAAAAAGTTAGGGCTGCCAACCAATAAAATATTTTAACGCACTCTGGTGTGTTTTAGATTTGGTGGAAAGTCTATCTATTTGATGGAAATGGCCTTTCGAGACTCTTGAACAGGAGAGTATCTCCAGTAATGATGACAGAACTTGTAGCCAGAAGGAAAGGCCATCCAAGGCATCAATACTAAGCAAAAAAAAAGTAGTTTAGAGTGTATGTGTACATACACAAGTTGAAATGGCTTTATAAATAAGCACGTTCAAAGCTCAAAGCTCACCAATACTGGGAGGCAGCCCCATAGCCAGGATATTCACTGGGATGGGGCTTTGGATTTGGGGGGCGCTGCACCCCCCCTCCCATGGTGACATCACCACAAGTGACTTTCCTCCTCCTTCTCCGTTTGGAGAGCCAAAAAGGAGGCAGCTAGGCTTGATTTGAGCTACTAAAGCTCCTCCCCCACCTTCGCCAGCCAGCAAGACGGGCCATCAGCTCTCCGAGAGCCTCACTGCACCAGCCTGCAAGTCAGGCTGTTGCCTCTCCAAGGCTCTCAGAGAGCCAACGGCCCATCTCACTGGCTGGCAAAGACGGGGGTGGGGTAGGGGAAAAGTTTTAGCCACAGTGGGGCTCTGCCCTAATCACGGGGCCTTAGCTGGCTATGTCCCTGCTGGGGGGGGCAATTCGGGTTTGAAAGATGTGCCCACATTGGAAGCTACAGCGGCTCCATTAGAAACAGCTGGATTTTCACCCAAAGAAGGAAACTGCTACCAACTGGAGGTTTTAACGGCTTAATTTAGGGAAAGGCATACAACACCCATTCTACATGGCAGGATATCAGGTTCTCATCAGCCCCAATAAAACAGAGACAGAATTCTAATCCATAGTAGATTTCAACCCACTGTTTGGCCAATTAATCAGTGTAATCTTAAAAAAAACTGACTGAAGCTTGTCACCCTAATACCCACTTGCATCAGCACAAACTTGTCGGTGTTGGAGAAGAGCACCACTGTGTTTTGCATGGTATCGTCGTCATCGTCGTCGTCCTCTTTACTCGGGGAGCTGTCAATATCAGCAAGCTTAGGGAAAGGATGGAAGGGGAAGCAAAGGGACAAAGTAAGCCAACCCTTTCTCGCACTCCAGAAACATCTAAATCCTCAACCAGCTAATCATGCACAGGGGCACCACCCTCGCTACAAGGGCCAGCTTTCATCGACCACACGGTCCATACCAATTCCCCCAGCTCCCTCCCAATAAACTGCATAGTCTAGTTCTTGGTACACACTCCAGAATGGACAAGGCTCCTGCTCCTTTAAGAGCACTGACGGAGATTAGCACCTCTTAGTATTAGAACAGTCAAGAAAACTACAGCAGATGAATAACAAGCTGCTTTGGAGCACTTAAGGAGGACAGAAGTCTCATCACAGGTTGAATGGAGATCCACCCTGGGTTCCCAGAAGCTCAGGAAAAAAGCAGGTATATAATTCATCTAAATAAACAAAGCAAATCTACGGGAAGGGCGGGGGGGGGGGGGGGGGCTTCAACAAAACAGAGAAAAGTAGGGCTTGCCCCACCAACTGCAAGCAACCTCAGTAAAAAGTATGGGCTAAAATACACCCGGGGGTGTGGGGGGGGGGGGCCAGTACGCAAGGCTTGTTCTCAGTCTTCTAAACCAAACCGGCAGAAACCTG